CTGTTTGCAAAGGGCATGTGAAAGGGGCTGCTTCAATACTTAAGGCGTTCAGCCTTATACTGTAGTAATCTACATAAGATGCTTTCCCATTAATTTCAAGGCTCTTTGAGGAAAGCTTGTCTTATATCTCTTCGTGTTTTTCAGCACTTAGCCCAGTGCCTTGCATATAATATGCATCAACTCTTTTTTTTCTTTTTGAGATGGAGTCTCACTCTGTTACCCAGACTGGAGTGCAGTGGCTCAATCTCAGCTCACTGCAATCTCTGCTTTCCAGGTTCAAGCGATTCTCCTGCCTCAGCCTCCCCAGTAGCTGGGACTACAGGTGCGCACCACTGTGCCCAGCTAATTTTTGTATTTTTTTTAGTAGAGACGGGGATTTCACTATGTTGGCCAGGCTGAACTTGAACCCCTGACCATGTGATCTGCCCACCTCGGCCTCCCAAAGTGCTGGGATTACAGGCTTGAGCCACTGCACGTGGCCTGCATTAACTCTTTTACTTGGATTTAAAAATTCCCCAAAGTGAATTTCATATTGGATAATTTTTTTTAATGTGTCAATGATTTGAAGCTCATGGATAATTTGAAATTGCTGGCCGGGCGCAGTGGCTCAAGCCTGTAATCCCAGCACTTTGGGAGGCCGAGACGGGTGGATCACAAGGTCAGGAGATCGAGACCATCCTGGCTAACACGGTGAAACCCCATCTCTACCAAAAAATACAAAAAACTAGCCAGGCGAGGTGGCGGGCGCCTGTAATCCCAGCTACTGAGAGGCTGAGGCAGGAGAATGGCGTAAACCTGGGAGGCGGAGCTTGCAGTGAGCTGAGATCCGGCCACTGCACTCCAGCCTGGGCGACAGAGCGAGACTCCATCTCAAAAAATAAAAATAAAAAAAAAAAAAGAAATTGCTTATGATACTTTCGCTTTATAAAATATTTTCTTCTAAAACTTCAAGAGTTCCATATTTAATTTTATGCTTGCTTTCATACTTTATGGGGCAGAGGGAAAGAACTGCTATGCACAATCTTCATTACACATGAAGAAACATTTATTTGATAGCTTGTTCAATGTCTTACAGTTAACAGGCAAGAGAATCTATGAAGGGGTGGCCTGCCCCTCCACACCTGTGGAGGGCGTTTCTCGTTAGGTGGAACGAGAGACTTGAGAAAAGAAATGAGACACAGAGAGAAAGTACAGAGAAAGAAAAGGTGGGCCCAGGGGACCGGCGCTCAGCATACAGAGGACCCACGCCGGCACCGGTCTCTGAGTTCCCTTAGCATTTATTGATAATCATCTTTACCATCTTAAAGAAAAGGAAGTGGCAAGACAATAGGGTCATTGCAGGGAGAAAGTCAGCAGTAAGACATATGAATATAGATCTCTGTAACATGAATAAGTTTATTTTATTTATTTATTTATTTATTTTTTTGAGACGAAGTCTCACTCTGTCACCCAGGCTGGAGTGCAGTGGCCGGATCTCAGCTCACTGCAAGCTCCGCCTCCCAGGTTTACGCCATTCTCCTGCCTCAGCCTCCCGAGTAGCTGGGACTACAGGCGCCTGCCACCTCGCCCGGCTAAGTTTTTGTATTTTTAGTAGAGACGGGGTTTCACTGTGTTAGCCAGGATGGTCTCGATCTCCTGACCTCGTGATCCGCCCGTCTCGGCCTCCCAAAGTGCTGGGATTACAGGCTTGAGCCACCGCGCCCGGCCACATGAATAAGTTTAAGGAAAAATGCTGTGCCTTGACATGCATATGCAAATATCTCCATAAACCTTTTTAGTACATAAAGAGCAGCATTGCCCTAGCAAGGCCCACCCTTCACCCTAAGGCAGTTTTCTCCTTTCTCAGTAAACAGAACATACAATCAGGTTTTACACTGAGATGTTCCATTGCCCAGGGACGGGCAGGAGACAGATGTTTTCTCTATCTCAACTGCCAACAACCGCCAAGAGGCCTTCTTTCCTCTTGCACTAGTCCTCCTCAGCACAGACCCTTCAAGGGTGTCAGGCTGGTGGACGATTAGGTCTTTCTCTTCTCACGAGGCCGTATTTCAGACTATCACATGGGGAGAAACCTTGGACAATACCTAGCTTTCCTAGGCAGAGGTCCCTGCGACCTTTGGCAGTATGCGTGTCCCTGGGTACTTGAGATTAAGAGAATGGTGATGACTTTTAACCAGCAAGCTGCCTGCAGGCACTTGTTTAACAAAGCACACCCTGCACAGCCCAAAAATTCTTTAAATCTTGAGTCACCATAGCACATGTCTCTTGCAAGGACAAGGTTGGGGGTAGGGTCACAGATTAACAGCATCTCAAATACAGAAGAAAATGGAGTCTCTTATGTCTACTTCTTTCTGTATAGACACAGTAACAGTCTGATCTCTCTTTCTTTTCCCCACAAATCTAGATTTTCTGAATCTCAGTCCAGAGCTATTCCTATTGGTGCATATAGGCTTTAAACAGATGGCTCCTCCTTTACCTGAAATATTCAAGTATTTCATGTAACTGTTATTGCTAATCATGCTTTTTGTTTTTCTATTCTCTCTCTTCCTACCCCGGACAAATTAACCCTAGTTATAAAATTGGTCTTGTTTGGAGGTACATAATCTACAGGCTGAAAGAAGAATGAAAATGTGAAGGTTATCAGCTAGAAACATTCCATCCCTAAAGAACAAGGTCCTTCCTGTGAACAAGGCCAGGGTTGACATCAGAATGCAACTTTACTGGACTTTTCAAAAACAATGAATGTGCATTTTGTTCCCGAATTTAACATCTACTCATTCACGTTTTTTTGTTTGTTTCAGATGGGTTGAAACATTTTAATAAATCTGGAATTAAGAGAAGGTGAAGATGATCCCATTCAAGTATAGGTGACTATTTACAGCTCAGGGAAATACCACACAATCTGGGAAATGTAAACTTAATCCTTGCAGTAAGTGAGGTGAGTCATCCATAGACCAAGAGGCCTCCCTGAGACTCTGCTATCTCACAGACCCAACCCATCTCTCTAAGGGAGGTAACATTTAGGTGTCACTTGTCCTAGGCTCTCACTGTATCTAATACAAGTTGAGCATCCATAATCTGAAAAGTCCAGAATCTGAAATGTTCTCAGATCTGAAACTTTGAACATCCACATGATGCCACAGGTGGAAAATTCCATACCTGACCTTCTGTAACAGGTCGCAGTCAAAACTTTGTTTCACGCACAAAATTATTTGAAGTTTTACAGGCGCCCGCCACCACGCCTGGCTAATTTTTGTATTTTTAGTAGTGATGGGATTTTACCACGTTGACCAGGCTGGTCTCAAACTCCTGACCTCGAGTGATCTGCCCCCTTTGGCCTCCCAAAGTGCTGGGATTACAGGTGTGAGCCACCGTTCCTGGCCTAAAGTATTGTATAAAAGTAACTTCAGGCTATGTGTGTAAAGTGTATAGGAAACAAATGCATTTCACGTTTAAACTTAGGTTCCATCCCCAAGAAATCTCATTATGTATATGCAAATATTCTAAAATCCAAAATAATCAGAAATCTGAAAGTGTTTTGGTCCCAAGCATTTAAGATAAGGGATACTTAACCCTTACACGAATTTGTGATTTGCACGTCTCTGTTGCTGGAGTCAAAGCAATTTGTAGTGAAGGACGGAACCTTATCATAGTTGCACCTTAGCGCCTACTATATAGTGGGGCTTAATGAGCATCTGTTGAACGAATAAATCTTTTCATATGTAGACGCTGGTGCTGGGAGGGCAAAATTAAGTCCCTATTCTTGAAAAGTTACCAGTCAATACATCTTCCAGAGAACCAACTTCCTGTTGTTAAACCCTTCAAAGGCTAGTTCTAAGTCACTGACAATTACTCAGCTAGAGACCCACTCAACTTAACCTCTCCTCTACTCTCAAATTCCGTTTCTTCCCTGAGCATTCTTAATACACCTTCTATCTAAGGACATTTGATGTTTTCTTCTTTTGGAAATCATGCTACTGTATGCGTTTTTTACTTTTTGAACTGTCTTTCCATCTGATATCCCGAGGCCTCCCTCACCCCAGATAAAAGATTCAAGGATTCTAAGCAGGAAAAAAAGTTTGCGAAAATGCTGTGGTTTCTTAAGAGAGAACACTTGAAATGTGCAAGAATGTAAATGTGGAATCCTGTAAGACGTAAAGTATACCAAGGACTACTAATTTCCTCCTCCTGCTTCTGACTTGAAAAACACGAGCTAAATCTGTCTACCTAACTCACAAAACCAGATGCCCACTCTTCAGGTCACATAATTGACATCTGCGTCTTTCATCGACGTAAACAAACTTGTCATTGAAAAAGTCCTTGGCTTTTAAGTCGCCGGATGGCGGAAATAACACTGACACTCAAATCCCTAGTCTGATTTCAGATTGGGTCGATTTCACGCAGGTTCTTTGGAATTTCCCCAGACTGCTGGCCTGTTTTCTACCCTGATCCCTTAGGTGGCTTCTGGGACAGAATTAGGGTTCTCTACGTATTTGCTTGCACGTGGGTTTACTGAAATGGCCGCCACTGTACGAAGTCCGTTCTTCCCGTGTAACTAAGAAGAGCCCATACCAACTTGCAACGCAGCCGTGCACACTGCCGCAGCAGTTGCCGCGATCACGACCTTTCAAAACCGCTCCGCAGACCTCGCAAAGAGGCTCGTGGCTCCCGCCTTCCGGTGCCTCAGTACCTGCCAGTCGCCGCCCAACGCCGTCCGGCTGTTCCCCGTTTGCACTCTCCCTCCGCCTACCCTGCTTCTTCTACCCCCCCGGCTCCCAGTTCTCCCGTCCTGCTCCGCGCAGGCTGCGGCTGTTCCGTCAGCGGCGGCTCCTCCTCCCAGACGCAGAGCGCTGCTCTGCCCCGCCTCCCGCGCAGGCTGCAGTCCTTACATCCGGGTACCGACTCCAGCCGCCTAGACGCTGGCACTATGGTCATGGCGGAGGGGACGGCAGTGCTGAGGCGGAACAGGCCGGGCACCAAGGCGCAGGTACCACGTCCGCACCTTTCCTGTCGGGCAAGTAGGTGCCGAGCAGTGCCGCGCCCGGAAGCTGGCCGCCACTGCGGGGAGGTTGGGCCTAGGCGGCAGGCGGGCGGGCTGGGGCACTGGTGCCCGGCCTGCTCTTCCGGAGCTGCAGCCCCTCAATTTGGTTGAGGCGGTGGCGGCCGCCGTGAGGCCTGCGGAGCTCCGACCCAGGGGTAGGCGTGAGGGGCGGGTGGGGGCTGCGGGTGGTACCTGCCTGCCGAAGCCCTGGGCTGCGAGCCGGTGGGCAGCAACAGCTTCTTTTCGCTTTGCCCCGGAGCCCCAGCTGACTAGCACTGGAGGGGCGCGACCAGCCCGGTGGAGACCCCCGGGGTTTCCTTAAGGTTGGGGCCGCTGAGGTTGGAGGGGGTGTAAACACAGCCTATCTCGACCCGGCGTCCAGTTCCTACCTGGCCTGGGACGTACCTGCCCGTCTCCTGCCATCCCGCTTGTCTAGCCGGATCCGGGTGCCAATATTCTCGTTGTTTCCCTTTAACCACCTCTCCCTGCCGCTTTCCCTGGAGCTGTTCTCTGGTCCAGCAAGTTCTCATCACCAAGTTGTGACTTGTTAGATGTCATTCCTTGCTAATATGCGTGAAGCGTTGTCAGAGAATGAACTGATTATAATTTTGTCAGCATTTTTGTAGGGCATTATGTGTGGTAAATTGGTGTTTGATTAGGCCTTGGTTCTTAGGGTTTGGAAAAGATGGGATGCCTCACATTAAAAAAAAAAAAATCAAATTGGCATCCAGACTTGAGCTGATTAATACTCTGCTAGCCGAAATGGCTCGCTATAGACTAGATGCTCTGAAATCGAAAGAGATGTGTTTATAAAATGTTAAAAAGTGATGCAAATGAAAATTGAAACAAAACAACCATGGAGCTATGATTGTATGTCTGAGAATAGATTCTAATTTGTTATACAGAATTATGGGAAGAACACCTTTCGAAGGGGGCATACAGGTATTGATTACCTTCCCAGATTCATGTTACGGATAAGGACACTGAAGCCCAAGAGAATTAACTGGATTTGCCCAAGGATACATCATCTGAGTGTTAATTCACTGGTGACCTTTTCTCTTTAACAAACTGCTTCTAGTGCTGAATTTTAGAGAAAATTTTGAAGTCTTATTTTGGAGTCACATTAAGCTGTCAATTTACTCCTACTACAGTTTTGTTTTCATACTACTGGAAATTTATGCGTTACATATGTTTGCTTTTTTTTTTTTTTTTTACCGTTTCCACACTTTACTTCCAAATGCTTTTCTCAGATACCTTTACATCTTATTCTGTGGAAACATTGTTTCTGATTACATTTTTATGTTCAGAAGTAGTCTTTTGTGTTCATATTATGAGAGTCATCTTATTTATTCGTAAGTTCTTAATTTTGAAAGGTTAGCGAATAAAATATTTCAACTAATATCGTAACATAGACTTGCTATGTTGCTGTAAGTCACAGAAGAAAGCTTTTTTTTTCTTCTTCACCTTGTCATGGATCAGGGTTGTTAGATAAAATATAATAGAAAAAGGATAAAAAATAAAAAAGACTACTTACGCCATAGTTTGTCCTATCTTGTTAATCACATGAATTTCCTTTAGTGAAATGGGTCTGTTCTAAAATGATATATTTAGAACCATATCTCCTTCCCTAATGGGTCAAAAGAAAAACAATTTAAAAACTATAATAGAGTGCTGGGTGCGGTGGCTCACGCGTATAATCCCAGCACTTTGGGAGGTCGAGGCAGGCGGATCACCTGAGGTCAGGAGTTCAAGACCAGCCTGGCCAACATGATGAAACCCCGTCTCTACTAAAAATACAAAAAATTAGCTGGGCGTGGTGGTGGGCGCCTGTAATCCCAGCCACTTAGTACGCTGAGGCTGGAGAATCGCTTGAACCCGGGAGGCGGAGGTTGCAAGGGAGCCCGAATGGCACCATTGCACTCCAGCCTGGGTAACAAGAGCAAAAAACCCGGTCTCAAAGAAACAAACAAACCCTATAGAAGAGCAGGTGGAGTATTTTCCTACATTAAAAAAAAAGTTGGTTAGACTGGAATATAGGCACATGGTTGGTTTTCTTTTTTCTTTTTTCTTTTCTTTTTGAGACAGAGTTTTGCTCTTGTTGCCCCCAAGCTGAAGTGCAGTGGTGCAGTCTTGGCGCACTGCAACCTCCGCCTCCCGAGTTCAAGCGATTCTTCTGCCTCAGCCTCCCAAGTAGCTGGGATTACAGGAGCGTGCCACTACGCCCGGCTAATTTTTTGCAAAAACGGGGTTTCACTATGTTAGCCAGGCTGGTCTCGAACTCCTGACTTCAGGTGATCCACCCACTTGGGCCTCCCAAAGTGGTGGGATTATGGGCGTGAGCCATTGCACCTGGCTGGTTTTTGTTTGTTTGTTTGTTTGTTTCTTTGTTTGTTTGAGAGGAGTCTCGTTCTGTCGCCCAGGCTGGAGTGCAGTGGGGCGATCTCAGCTCGTTGCAACCCCCGCCTCCCAGGTTCAAGTGATTCTCCTGCCTCAGCCTCCCGAGTAGCTGGGATTACAGGCACCCGCCACCTCACCCGGCTAATTGTTGTTGTCGTTGTTGTTGTTGTTGTTGTTGTTGAGTCAAGAGTCTCGCTCTGTCCCCCAGGCTGGAGTGCAGTGGTGCAATCTGGCTCACTGCAAGCTCCGCCTCCCGGGTGCACGCCATTCTCCTGTCTCAGCCTCCCGAGTAGCTGGGACTACAGGGGCCCTCCACCACGTCCGGCTAATTTTTTTTGTGTTTTTAGTAGAGACGGGGGGTTTCAGCGTGTTAGCCAGGTTGGTCTCGAACTCCGGACCTCAAGTGATCTGCCCGCCTCAGCCTCCCAAAGTGCTGGGATTAGAGGCACAAGCCACCACGCCAGGCTTCATAGTTAGTTTTCAAAAAATGTTTGTTGATTGGATTAGATGAGAATCTTTATTAAGCTGAATTTTTGGTGTCTCTCATAGGCATCTAAAATATGTCACAGTTATGATAAGGCAAAACATTTCATTCGCAACATCTTTTCTGTATGTAGTCATCCTTGGTGTCCTCTGGGGATTGGCTCCAGGATAACTCTACCCCCACCCCATACCAAAATCTGAGGATGCTTAAGTTTCCTATGTAAAATGGCATAGTGTTTGCATATAACCTATGCACATTCTGTTACATAGTTTAAATCAACTCTAGATTATTTAATAATACCTAATACAATGCAAGTGTTCTGTAAATAGTTGTTAACACTGTATTATTTAGGGAATAATGACCAAAAAAAAAATAGCCGGTACATGTTTAGTACGTACTCAACTATATTAGACCTAACTAGGTACATAGTACATGTCAGCAACAATATAACATTTTGTGGATTTTTTTAATCCCCTGAAACATTTTCCATTCCTGGTTGATTGAATCTGCAGATGAAACCTGCAGATATGGAGGGCCAACTGTATAACTACATGTGTTTTCTAATATTTTAAAAACAATATTCTGTAAACTTTCTTAGTTTTTTTTGAAAAGGAAAGAATAGAGTATTGGTAGAAATTTAGTGTAGATCGGCCGGGTGCGGTGGCTCACGCCTGTAATCCCAGCACTTTGGGAGGCCGAGGCTTGCGGATCACAAGGTCAGGAGATCGAGACCATCCTGACTAACATGGTGAAAACCCGTCTCTACTAAAAATACAAAAAAAACTAGCCGGGCGTGGTGGTGGGCGCCTGTAGTCCCAGCTACTCAGGACGCTGAGGCAGGAGAATGGCTTGATCCCGGGAGGCGGAGCTTGCAGTGAGCCGAGATTGCGCCACTGCACTCCAGCCAGGGGGACAGAGCGAGACTCCATCTCAAAAAAAAAAAAAAGAAAAAAGAAATTTAGTGTAGATCATATAGGAAAAATTTTAAAACTGCTCTTTAGTATTTAGACAATGTCTAAGGAAAGGAATCCTGGAACCATTTCCAGAAGATTGTTTTATTTCCTGATATCTTCCTTTAATAAAATTAGTTCATTTTCATACAGATAGGCCAGCTATTTAAAAAAAGATGAAATGTTTAAGACACTTAGAAAGGTATCCTCATTATCTACTGTCTGAACAAGGATGTTGCTATTATAGTTGAATCCTTATGGAAGACATTCTCTGTCTTCTACCCTATCATTCCTTTTCTGTATACTTTTACTGTATACGCATTATATCAATAAGTATGCCTTGCACTTAAACCTTTTTTTTTGAGATGGAGTCTTGCTCTGTCTCCCAGGCTGGAGTGCAGTGCTGCACTCTCGGCTCACTGCAAGCTCCACTTCCTGGGTTCGGGCCCACCACCACGCCTGGCTAATTTTTTGTATTTTTTTGTAGAGACGGGGTTTCACCATGTTAGCCAGGATGGTCTTGATCTGCTGACCTCATGATCTGTCCACCTCAGCCTCCCAAAGTGCTGAGATTACAGGCGTGAGCCACCACACCTGGCCTAAACTTTTATTCATTTTATATACACTGTGTTTTCTTCCAATTTGATTTTTTTGCTCAAGGTTTTGGAGACTTAATTTTTGTTTATTGCTTTTACAGGTTTATATACAGGTTTATAGATTATTGGTTTACTCTTACCCCCTCCCCACCAAGTTTTACCTCAGAGACATTTGAGCTCCAACTATGTGTCAGGCATTGTGCTACCTACTGAGGTTACATAGGTAAAGTTTGCTGAAAAATCAGTCAAATGGAAAGGTTCTTAATCACTTAGGGGAATGTCTGTTAACTGTATTATCTACAGATCCAGAACCAGGGCAAGATGCTCTATAAAAATATCCCCCTTAGGCCGGGCATGGTGGCTCATGCTTATAATCCCAGCACTTTGGGAGGCTGAAGCTAGAGGATTGATTGTGATCAGGAGTTTGAGACTAACCTGGCCAACAAAGCGAGACCTCATCTCTTAAAAAAAAAGAAGAAGAAATAAAAATATTCCCTTTAATAGAAGGCTGGTTTATTTGGATGTTTACTTCTCTTTTTAAAATTGTGGGTGTATATATTTATAGGTTACATGAGCTATTTTGATACAAGCATGCAATGTATAATAATCACATCAGGCAGGGCGCTGTGGCTCAAGCCTGTAATCCCAGCACTTTGGGAGGCCAAGACGGGCGGATCACGAGGTCAGGAGATCGAGACCATCCTGGCGAACACGGTGAAACCCCATCTCTACTAAAAAATACAAAAAACTAGCCAGGCGAGGTGGCGGGCGTCTGTAGTCCCAGCTACTTGGGAGGCTGAGGCAGGAGACTGGCTAAACCTGGGAGGCGGAGCTTGCAGTGAGCTGAGATCTGGCCACTGCACTCCAGGCTGGGCGACAGTCTCCAAAAAAAAAAAAAAAATGACATCGGGGGGTAAATGGAGTATCCATCACCATAAGCATTTGTCCTTAATGTTGCAAAAAATTAGGTTCTTTTAGCTTTTTTTAAATGTGCAATTAAATTATTTTTTACTATAGTCACCCTGTTGTGCTAGCAAGTACTAGGGCTTATTCATTCTTTCTATTTTTTTGTACCCATGGGTGATTACCTTTTTTTTTTTTTTGAGATGGAGTCTCACTCTGTCACCCAGGCTGGAGTGCAGTGGTGTGATCTTGATTGACCACAACTTCCGCCTCCCTGGTTCAAGCAGTTCTCCTGCCTCAGCCTCCTGAGTAGTTGGGATTACAGGCGCACACCCCCATGCCCGGCTATTTTTTGTATTTTTAGTAGAGATGGGGTTTCATCATGTTGGCCAGGCTGGTCTCGAACTCCTGACCTCAAGTGATCCTTCCGCCTCAGCCTCCCAAAGTGCTAGAATTAGTGGTGTAAGCCACCATGCCCGGCCTCATGATTACTTTTTAATGGTGCCCATATTTTGATTTAGAAATTTAAAACTCTATTTGGAGTGAGAATAATAATTTATAATTTCTTCTTAAAATAATACTTATGCATCGGGCATGGTGGCTGAGGCCTGTAATCCCAGCACTTTGGGAGGCTGAGGTGGGCGGATCGCAAGGTCAAGAGATCAAGACCATCCTGGCCAACATAGTGAAACCCTGTCTCTACAAAAAATACAAAAATTAGCTGGACGTGGTGGTGCGCACCTGTAGTCCCAGCTACTTGGGAGGCTGAGGCAGGAGAATCGCTTGAACCCGGGAGGCAGAGGTTGCAGTGAGCTGAGATTGCACGACTGCACTCCAGCCTGGTGACAGAGCGAGACTCCCATCTCATCATCATCATAATAATACTTATGGAGCAATAAATTAGTTACTAATGCTAGCTGTTCTCTTTTGGTAAAAATCTGATTTACTTTTTGGTGTCTGGAGATTTCTTTTTTCATTGTAACTTTCTGAGAGATATTTAACCATCATAAACAAAAAAGTGATAGACTTATCTCCCCAATTAAGTAATACATTAAAGGTTTATGGGAGCTATATTTGAGGAATTTGTGATTGGAAAAAACATAATTTGTAATTCATTTAAATAAAATCTTGATATTCATTTAAAAACCAAACAGCCAGGCACAGTGGGTCAGGACTATAATCCTAAGAAGAGGGCAGCTAAGGTGAGAGGTTGAGGTGGGATGATTGCTTACACCCAGGAGTTTGAGGCTGTAGTGAGCTATGATTGTGCCAGTGCACACCAGCATGGGCTACAGAGTGAGACACTGTCCCTGAAAAAGAAAAATTGAATAAAATTTATTTCCTTATTTCACTGGTAATTACATTGCAAAAGTTTTTTCTTCCCCTCCAGTGTGAGCTTTGGATCTTTATTAAGAATTGATGTTAATCATAATAGTATTTTGTATGTGCTTTAACTGTGAATTTATTTTTGTAGGATTTCTATAATTGGCCTGATGAATCCTTTGATGAAATGGACAGTACACTAGCTGTTCAACAGGTAATAAAAATAGTTTCTTTTCACCCTGTGTCTTTTGGAGTACAATGTGTAAGTGCCCATTGGGTGGCCTTTGTTGGTCAGTGTGCAGCAGTCTGCTTCCCAATAAAGCGTGCTCTTTCACAAAATGAAACAAAAAAAATAGTTCCTTTTACAACTCCAATAACCTAAGCATTTTATCTCTTTGATATAGTTAAGTATTCTTACATCTTTTAGCATAGACAAGATTCCACTGAATTAATGGAATGCCTATTTAAAAGTTTAGTCAACCCTCATTTTGTTTTAAGATGGCATATTAAACTGGGCACTGTGGCTGCCAGCACTTTGGGAGGCCGAGGTGGGAGGCCAATCACTTGAGGCCAGGAGTTCAAGACCAGCGTGACATAGCAAGACCCTGTTTCTACAAAAAGATAAATTAGCCAGGCATGGTGGTGCACACCTTTAGTGCCAGTAGCTAGGGAGTCTGAGGTGGAGGGATTACTTGATCCTACTTCAAGGGTCTAATGAGCTATGATTGTGCCACTGTACTTCAACCTGGGTGACAGAGTAAGATCTTGTCTCTTAAAAAAAATAAAAATAGTCCAGGTATGGTGGCTCACAGCTGTAATCCCAGCACTTTGGGAGGCCGAGGCGGGCGGATCACCAGGTCAGGAGATCGAGACTATCCTGGCTAACATGGTGAAACCCCATCTCTACTAAAAACACAAAAAATTAGACAGGCATGGTAGCACGCGCCTGTAGTCCCAGCTACTTGGGAGGCTGAGGCAGGAGAATGGCTTGAAATCAAGAGGTGGAGGCTGCAGTGAGCCGAGATTGTGCCACTGCACCCCAGTCTGGCCAACAGCGGGACTCTGTCTCGAAAAACAAAACAAAACAAAAAAACAAAATACAATTTCATTAAGGGGCAAATAAAAAAATATACATTAGAGCATACTAGTGTATTGGATTAGGCATCGGTTAAATTTTTTTTGTTTCGAATTTTTAGTAGAGACAGGGTTTTGCCATGTTGCCCACCTTGAACTCCTGGGCTCAAGCAGTCCACCCCCCATGACCTCATGGCCTCCCAAAGTGCTGGGATTACAAGTGTGAATCACTGCACTTGTCTTTTTTTTTTTTTTTTTTTTTTTGAGATGGGGTCTCACTCTGTTGCCTAGACTGGAGTGCAATGGCTCGAGCATGGCACACTGTAGCCTCAACTTCCTGGACTCAGCTGATTCTTCTGCCTCAGCCTTTCAAGTAACTGGGACTATAGGTGCGTACTGCCACTTCTGGCTAACTTTTTTGTAGAGAAGGGGTTTCACTATGTTGCCCTGGCTGATGATAACATTTTTAAAGGGAAAATATACCATAAATCGAGGCTGTTTGGCTTCATTTTGATAGCCAGATAATAAAAGTAGATAGCTGGCTGGGTGTCGTGGCTCTTGCCTGTAATCCCAGCACTTTGGGAGGCCGAGGTGGGCAGATCACAAGGTCAGGAGATCGAGACCATTCTGGCTAGTATGGTGAAACCCCGTCTCTACTGAAAATACAAAAAAATTAGCTGGGCATGTGTAGTCCCAGCTACTCGGGAGGCTGAGGCAGGAGAATGGTGTGAACCCAGGCAGCGGAGCTTGCAGTGAGCCGAGATCACGCCACTGCACTCCAGCCTGGGGAAGACTCTTTGTCTCAAAAAAAAAAAAAAAAAAAAAACAAGTAGATAGCTATTTGGATTTATTATGTTATTTGAAGATCTTAGAAAATAAAAGAGAAATATAGTTGAATTATTGGAGCATTAAAAACCACCCATCTAGGCGTGGTGGCTGACACCTGTAATCTCAGTACTTTGGGAGGCCGAGGAGGGAGGATCAGTTTGAGGCCGGGAGTTTGAAACCAGCCTGGACAATATAGTGAGACCCTGTCTCTGCAAAAAAGAAAAACGTTAGGCTAGGTGGTGTGAACCTGTAGTCCTAGCTACTTAGGAGGCTGAGGTGGGAGGATAGCTTGAGCCCAGGAGTTAGGGTTAACGGTGAGCTGTGATTGTGCTACTGCACTCCAGGCTGGTGACAGAGTGAGACCCTATCTCAAAAAAAAAAAAAGAAAAAGTGCTGTTCAATCAGCAAATATTTATTGGGTTCTCACTATATACCTAGCAATGAGTTAGGCCTTGTGGAAGATAAAGGAATATAGACCTAGATCTAGCTCTATGCCTAGAAATTGGTTAAATTTTGAAGAAAAATGTACTGATGGTTATTTCTTTAAAAATAGGGGGAAGTGTCCTGTTACTTTGTTGAATTTGTTCATTTATTTTTGCAGGTTTTTGGATGTGAAATCTTTAGGGTTTTCTACATATGAGACCATGTCATCTGCAAACAGATAATTTTACTTCTCCAATCTAGATCTGTTTTCTTTCTTTTTCTTGCCTAATTGCTCTGGCTAGACCTTTCAGTACTACTTTGAATAAAAGTGGTGAAAGAGGGCATCTTTGTCTTCTTCCTGATCTTAGAGGAGAGCTTTTAGTTTTTCACTGTTAAGTATGATGTTCACCATGGATTTTTCATATATGGTCTTTATTATATTGAAGTTGTTTCCTTTATTTGTAGTTCATTCAGTGCTTTTTAGATCATAAAATGGTGTTAAATTTTGTCAAATGGTTTTGCTGCATCTATTGAGATGATCATGTGTTTCTTTTTCTTACTTTTTTTTTTTTGTGGGACAGTCTCACTCTGTCACCAGGCTGCAGTGCAGTGGTGTGATCTCAGCTCACTGCAACCTCTGCCTCCCAGGTTCAAGCAATTCTCCTGCGTCAGCCTCCTGAGTAGCTGGGTCTACAGGCACACGCCACTACGCCCAGCCAATTTTTGTGTTTTTAGTAGAGATGGAGTTTCACCGTGTTGGCCAGGATGGTCTTGATCTCTTGACCTCATGATCCGCCAACCTCAGCCTCCCAAAGTGCTGGAACTACAGGTGTGAGCCACCACGCCTGGCCAAAACATCATGTGTTTCCTTTTCATTCATTCTGGGTTTTTTTTTTTTTTTTTTTTTTGAAGTTTGGGTTTTGCTCTTTTTGCCGAGGCTGGAGTGCAATGGCATGACCTCCACTCACTGCAACCTCCACCTCCTGGGTTCAAGTGACTCTCCTGCTTCAGCCTCCTAGCTGGGATTACAGGCGTGTGCCACCACACCTGGCTAATTTTGTATTTTTAGTAGAGATGGGGTTTCACTGTGTTGGCCAGGCTGGTCTCGAACTCCTGACCTTGTGATCTACCCACCTCAGCTTCTCAGAGTGTTGGGATTACAGGCGTGAGCCACCATGCTCGGCCCATTCATTCTGTTAATGTGATATATTGATTGATTTTTTTTTTTTTTTGGATGTTAAACCATTTTTGTATTTCTTGTGTTCCAGGAATAAATTCCACTTGGTCATGGTGTATAAAAACCTTTTAATATGCCACTGAATTTGATTTGCTGGTATTTTATTGAGAATTTTGCTTTGGTGTTCATGAGGGATATCAGTTTGTAGTTTTAATAGTGTCTTTGTTTGGCTTTGGTGTTAGGACAATGATGGCATCATAGAATGAGTTAGAAAGTATTCCCCCCTTTTCAATTTTTTGGAAGATTTTGAGAAGGTGGTGCTAGTTTTTCTTTTTTCTTTCTCTCTCTCTCTCTCTCTCTCTTTCTTTCTTTCTTTCTTTTTTTTTTTTTTTGTGAGACAGAGTCTCACTCTGTTGCCCAGGCCAGGCTGGAGTGCAGTGGCGTGACCTCAACTCACTACAGCCTCTGCCACCTGGATTCAAGCGATTCTCCTACCTCAGCCTCCTGAGTAGGTGGGATTACAGGCACCCGCCACTGCGCCTGGTTAATTTTTGTAGTTTTAGTTGGAGATGGGATTTCGCCATCTTGGCCAGGCCAGTCTTGAACTCCAGACCTCGTGATCTACCCACCTTGGCTTCCCAAAGTGCTGGGATTGCAGGTGTGAGCCATCGCGCCTGGCATTAGTTTTTCTTTAAATATTTGGTATTTTCTTTAAATGTTTACTAGTGAAGCTGTTAGGCCCAGGGTTTTTCTTTGCTCAACATTGGGAATATAATTAATGCCACTTAAAAATGGTTTAAATGCTTTTCCTTTCTTTATTGAATGGTCTCAGCAGCCTTGTTGAAATCGTTTGGCTGTGTATGTGACACGTTATTTCTGGGTTCTTTATTTATTTTTGTCTATATGAGTCTCCTTATGCCAGTATCACACAGTGTTTGATTACTGTAGCTTTGTAGTAAGTTTTGAACTCAAGAAGTGTGAATCCTCCAACTTCATTCCTTATTTTATTTTTCTTAATAGAGACAGAATCTTGCAGTGTTGCCCAAGTTGGTTTTGAACTCTTGGGCTCAGGTGATCCTCTTGCCTTGGCTGGGATTACAGGCATGAGCCACCATGCTCTGACCAAATTTGTTCTTTATTTTCAAGATTTTTTTTTGTTTATTCAGAAACCCTTGCAATTCCATATAAATTTGAGGATCACCTTTTCTGTATCTGCAAAAAAAGAGGGGTGTCAGTTGGAATTTAGCTAGAGATTGTCTCGTATCTCTAGATTGCTTTAGGTAGCGTTGACATCTTAACAATATTAAGCCTTCTTACTCATGCGCACAAGATGTCTTTCCATTTATTTAGGTCTTCTTTAATTGCAGCAATGTTTTGTAGTTTTCAGTCTGCGAAAAAAATCTCCTTATTTAAATCTATTTCTAGGTAGTTAAAAGTTTTTAGGTGCTATTGTAAGTGGAATTGTTTTCTTCGTTTTTAGATTCTACAGGTATATAGAAACAAAACTGATTTTTGTGTATTCATCTTGTATTCTATGACTTTGCTGAATCATTTTGCACTTAGAGTAACGTCCTTGTGGATTCTTCGGGATTTCGTATATATAGGATCATGTAATTTGTGGATAGAGATAGTTTTACCACTTCCTTTCCAAATGAGATGCCTTTTATTTTTTTATCTTGTCTAGTTGCTTTGGCTAGAACTTTAGTACAGTG